TGGTGGCCAGGAAAACAACAGGAACACAAGTGAGTTCTCAGTACTCACAAAGTGAAACAACCCCAAGAGCAATGGCGTCAACTCTGCCCTTTCTAGACAGTGTTTTCATTGTTGTCAATGCGACAGCTGCCACAGAACACCTGGTATCAGGTGTAGTTGCTCAAATCAGCCTGACTTAGTCAACTCCAAGAGACTTCTACCAAGTCCCATCCCCTCCTAAGCACTGGCTGTTGACTCGGCTCACTTTGCAGGGCACAACAGTGACAAACAACATGGATGAAACTGCCAACCTCAGCCCTCAAAGAGCTTATCATCACCATCAACCTAGCCCTATCCTTCCAAATTACCATCCTGGAAGCCAGCCCTGGTCATCATCACACCAACTCAGAGTTTTTTCTCATCTATCAACAGCATTAGACTTCCCAGTAATGGCTGAAAATGGAAATGCCCTTACCGTACTTCATCAAAAATACAAGCACACAAGCCACCAAAGGGGCTATAAATTAAAAATTCAACACAAAAATCTTTTATTTATTCTTTCATTCATTCAGTTAATTTTAATTTCATGCTTACTGTGTACAGTAGTCTTACTAGATGCCAGCAACTCCAAACAAGGAACAAGAGGGGGGCCACGGTACCTCTCTTCTTCTCTAGCTTACCCTTAAAAGAGGACAAGGTCCCTACAGGAAAAGCTCAGTGCTGCACTGTAGAACACTTCCAACCCTGTCCACTCCAGGATGCAAAAACAGGAAGAGCACCTTTAAACATGGAGAAACAAACACCACAGTAACATATAGCTCCGGAGTAACTAGATGCTGATAACAGTTCAGGAGAATAGAATGAAGCAAATATCTTCAGAGTTTCAAGCAACTATATCTGAAAAAGAAAGGTTCTCTTTAATTTAAAAAAAAAAAAAAGCATAGTAAAAATAAAAGGGATAGCAACAGTATCTTGCACTGGGCCCATGCTAACCCCAGCAGAAAGTGATGCTCTGGGGGACTTTGTTGCTCCCAGCATCACTAGGGAAATGCAAAGACCTAGTCTGATTTTCCAGGCAAATGCAGTTGGCTCCCTATCTGTGGTCTGCCCATTGAAGACTTGGGAAACTGCTAATGGAAAATACTGCATCAGTACTAAAAATGTTCAAATTTTTTTCCATCATCACCTAAACAATATAGCATAGCAACTATTTACATAGTCCATACATTGTATTAAGCTTTATAAGTCATCTAGAGAGGATTTAAAGCCTATGGAAGGAGCCAGATACAATGGTGCATCAACCCATAATCACAGCTACTGGGGAGGCTGAGGTGGGAGGACCACTTGAACTCAAGTTCAAGGCCAGTCTGGGCAACACTGCATATGGAAGGATATGCATATGTTATATGCAAATATAACCATTTCATATAAGGGACTTGAGCAACCGAGGATTTTGGCATCCTGGAGACTGGGGGACTCCTGCAAGCAATCTTTCCACAGACACCAAGGGACAACTTTATATGATTAGCCTATTGCCACGAATAAATAAAGTCAAGGCTGAAATTAAAGCCTGGTGACAGGACACTGGGAACAAGAGAAAGGGACCTTCATGGTAAATCTGGCCTAACCCTGAGCAAGTTGGAACATAATAAGCAACAAAGGCTGCACCAACTATTTTACAGCAAGAGTAGTGTTGATGCCAATTATTTTTTGCCCTAGTCAAGAGAGCTTGTTATCCTTCCACAGAACAATTATCTATAGGTGCATAATAGTTAAAAGCTAAATTCTTTCTCCAGTTCAGCACAGGAAAAGTGCTGCTCAAAGCTATTTGACATCATTTACTAAATTAGATTAATTTTTAAATGTGTTATTCTAACAATTATACCAACTCCATGTAATTATTATTCCAACTGACTTTACAAAAATTACAAAAATCCCCTAAAGAAAATAATTAGTCATTAGGCATGCATCAGACTTTTCTATGGCCAACAGCACATAAAACAGAAAGTTCACCACATAACGGGCAGTGTCAAAGCCTTCCCCACACTTCCTTCAATTCTTAGCCAATAGCGCAGAAAGCTGACATTGGCAAGTTACCCCAAACTTCACTTAATATATTAATGCACTTACTGGTTTCAAATCTTTGAGGGTAAAATGATGAATGGTGAAAGCTTGAGCAATTAAAAAGCTCTTTTCATTTGCAAGAGAAGATAAACACACATAATTAATTGTTTGCCTCTTTATGTCGCCAGCTGGAAATTGGAATGCTAGCTTATTTCTCCAGGCTATTTCTTGAGTTTATCTATACAGAATCCTTGTCCTGTTCTTCCTCTTCTTTCTGGGTCTTATGGATTCTTATAATCCACCTTAATTCCTTCCCAGTGTAAGGTAAGGCATAAACAACAGTCACATAGGAAATGACCTACTGTAACACAAATAACAAACAGGCTTTCCCTGCAGCCCTCCTATAAGTAACTGGCAATGACCAGAGTTGCAAGGATTCTGAGCCAACACACAGTATCAGCAGGAAAGAAGCAATGGTTGATCAGTGATGTCTGTCCTGGAAAGAGTAATAGCCTGAGGACCTAGGTAACATGCATTTGTTGTCATCTCCACTCTTTGTTAAAGCACTGAAAATTAGGAAAAAACACACAGACTGAATGAATAAAATGTAAGGTGAACTCTTTCTTGGATGCAACCAAAAGGGGAAAAATTGTTTTCTATAGTTGAAAACCTTAAACCAAATAAGACTAACCATCAAGTTTTGGGGGGGGGGGGGGGGGGGGGGGATGACAGCAAACTAAGTTAGGAAACCCAAATTTTAGTCCAGCTGGGGAGCTGGGAAGAGGCAGTTCACCGGGCCTCCATTTTCTGGGCCCTCCCCAAAAGGCTCAATCTTCTGACTATACTCCTCTGCTTGTGGCACTAGGAAACTGGTGAAAGAATACAGTTTACTTTGTAGGAGCATCACCTCACCAGACTGGAGACGTGCCTAAAATTCCACATGTGCTCACATTGGTATAGGATTCATCACCTGTATTTTTAACCTGTAGCATCTAAGGCAAGAGGTTCCATATACATAATATTTTTTCTTTTCCACCTTGGGGCAAGGGTGAGGATCACAGACTTCTATTTTAATAGCTGAGCAATTAAAATTAGTGAATAAAAATAATTAAACAACCTTCACTCAAATGTTCAGTGTCATCATGTCAACATAATACCAGTTGCTTCCCATGTAGGTCCCCGTAACTCATACTTCTGATATCAGCCTACATCTTCCCATCACTGAAAAGTCCTCGTCACTCTAAACATCTTTCAAGAACTTTACCCCGTGACACATCAAAGTGACTTCCTTATCCCAACACCAAAAATCAAGACATTTTATAAGGAATCCAACCAGAAATAAATCCACACCATGAACCTACTGACCAGATTGCACCAATCACCAGGAAAACTCATGCAGATGACCAAGAGCACACCTGGGAGAAGCAGAAAGCTCTCCCAGAACAGTCTGAGGGCAGGGCTATTGGCTAGAACAGTGCCATGTCCCAACAACTACACAGACATCTATAATTTTTTTGTCTGCATGATCCCCTCTGCTATGGTTTGGTTATATTCAAACGTGCCCCCCAAAGGGTCAAGTGTTTCAAACTTAGTCCTCAGTGCGGCAATGATGGTGTGGAACCTTTAAGACGTGGGAGCCTAGTGGGAGGTCCTCAGGCCAACTGAGGACACGCCCTCAGAAGAGACTATGGAGCCCAGCCTCTCTGTGTCTTTCTGTCTGATGAGGTGATCTATTTCTCTCATGTGTGTTCCCACTATTATGATGCCATTCACCCTGAGAATCTCACCAGAGTCAGGCCAAAGCCAGCACCTTGCCCTTAAGCTCCTAAACTGAAAGCTAAACACAATTCTTTTCTTTATAAAGTTGGCCTGCTTCTGGTATTTCACTATAAAAAAGAAAAATGAATTAATCGACTGTCTTTTTGGTAACTTCCCAACTCCAATCCCAAGGAGTATCACTTCCTGTCCTCCAGGAGATCCAAGCTGAGAAGCCCATCAGGGTTCAACGCATGTCTCTGAGGACACCTACCAAGCAGGGCAAGGATCCTTTCTCAAGACCTGATGTAGGCTCTGGGAGATCTTCAGGTTTAAGGGTTGCTCAAACCTAAAACGCCAGGCCATCTTTTCCAGCACCTGAAGAATATCACACCAACAGTAGAGAAGGCCTTCAGGAAGAAAGAGTGTGCAGATTCCTGCCACACCACCTGCACACCCTGCTCCTCATGAGCTCAGCCTAATACCACAAACTCCCTGAACATTTTGGTTCCCTTACCCAATAAAGCCTTCTCCAAACCTCAGGTTTTTTGCAGAGTTTGTTTTTTTGTTTTGTTTTCTAGCTCCCTATCAACAGGAAAACAAACACATGCAATAACACATAGCAGACAAAAGGAACTCATCCGTCAACAAACTGTTTCCCAGCTTATGAGCCTAACTGCTCCTGTTATTTTTAGACTACAGTTCAGTTTTCCCTTTACAGTTATTTAAAACAATTAGCAAATAATCTAACAAACAGCATGCTAGAGATGTTGTTCCATCCATGACCAGACAATGATACACAGGAACAAAAACAATGTGAGTGGCTAAACATTTAGACCCCAGTCCTTACCCTTCTGGGTGTCATAAACTCCTCTTAAGAATCTGGTGAACACTACAATACCTTCCTCAGGCAAGAATGCACACACCCCAACATTCACTCATAGAATACCAAAAGCTTATGAAAGCTGCAGCCTACACTCAAGCTGATTAAATGTAATCAATCACCTGGGCATCACTATTAGTCCTCAGATTTAAAAGGACTACAAAATAGCTTACAGGAAAATTCTAAAATTTCCAACTCTATAACACTATGTTAATCAAAATTTTAAAAAAAATAAAAACTTATCCTCACTCTCTGCGTTTATGAAAGACAAGAACGATTGGCTTTTGCTCTATTAACTCCATTTATGATGTCTCCTTACCTTGTTGGACCATTTATATGCTTGCAGGAGTTGACTATAGAGGGGAGTTTTGTCCTGCACGGGATCCAGACTTAACAGCCCACTGTTATGAAGAGGATGGTTCTCAGATGGCTTGCCTACCAAGTTGCTCAGACGTTCCAATTCACTGAAAAATAAATAAATAAAGCAAATAAACCTGAGTTCACTTAACTCCAGAGAAGCTGACCACACTGGCTAAAGGCTGCTCTCCAAAGTATCCATCAGAGGGCCTGGCAGTGGCACATCTATTGTCCCAGAGACTGGGGAAGCTGAGGCAGGAGGATCACAAGTTCCAGGCCAGTCTCAGCAACTTGAAGAGGCCCTAAGCAATTCAGCGAGACCCTCTCTCTAAATAAAAGAAGAGCTCAGAAGTAGCTCAGTGGTTAAGCACCCCGGTACCAAAACAAAACAAAAAATTAGGGACAACCAAGAAAACCCCATTATGGGATTTTATCTTAATTTTAAAAAGGGCTCCCTGGTGCTGTTGCAAAGGAGAAAAAAGGTTAAGGGCACAAAAATCAGCAAGACTGCTGAAATGAGGATTTAACGACTCGAATTAAGTCTCCGCGGTAGGAGGAGACTTTCTGGAATTTTGCAATGTGGTACAACATTGCCTCTCACTAAGGGTTTTAAGACCCACGTGCAGATCCCTGCATTTGGCAGAACAGCAAGTACCTGAATAAATGATGATTATTTATCATTCACATAGGAATAGATTTGTACATGATGCTTCACAGATGGTAACACTTAGCAAAACAAAGAAGAGATAAAATAAACAAATGAGATGGGAAGACACCACAAAGGGGGCCATGTCAAACAAACACACTTCAGTCTAGCAGGAAAACTCTGGAGAAGCTCGAGAAAATGAGCCAACAGCAAAAGCAAAAGCACATTACAGGAGCATGTTCTTAGAGGCCAGTCCCCAACTGCCAACAAAAGACTTAGCACACAGCTTCTCACACTACATTCTTTCCAGAATCTTCAGCTTCCTTCTCCTTGACACTACTGTACAAAGATTTAAGAAAGCAAAAGGGTAATGTTAACATTTTTAAAGTTCCTAAAATGGTGAAGGGTTATAATACCTTGACAATTGCAAAGGAAAGCAAATCAGAGAAAATGGAAATGGAAGCAAAGAACCACCAACCAGGAAATTCCCTCAAGTAGGGAAAGTATTAACTGGCGCTGGGTACCACACCTAAGAACAAGAAGTGGATGTGGCAGCTGAGGAGGGGGATATGATTTATGGCAACTACTGAGAATGGGGTAAAGGTATCCTTCATTTGGCCACCTTCTATCCCAACTCTTTTCGCTCTGTTACTAAGGAGACCAAATTGAAAAAAAAAAAATCTGGGCTGAGGATTATTTCAATGGTAAAATACCTGCCCAGCATGCTTGAGGTCCTTAGTTTGATCCCTAGCACCATCAAAACAAATAAAAAATAATCCAGCCAAGAATCTTCCTGGGAAGCACTAACTCCCTTAAAAAAGGAAAGGTAAGTCTGGGACCTAGGGACCTAAGCATCAAGTACCTACCATGTGCCTGGCATTTTACAAACATCTACTCATTTAATTCTTATGAATTAAGACTCGAAGCAGAAGTTGACTTTAAGAAAGACGGGCATTTACGATCCCTAGCCCTAAAGGACCACAAATTAAGAGTTGCTGGGGGCAGGGGTTCGCTTAAGTGAACAGGCTGGCTAACAATTACAGATCAGGTCGCTACTGAAGAAGATCTGCTGAACAGGACCAATCAAGGAGCAGTGACAGTGCTGGGCAGGTGGTTGAGAAGGAGCAGAGGAAGAAAGAACGACAGATCAGGGCCTGTTTTGTCATGTTGGGAGTGAGGTGAGGTACAACTGATGAGTTCGGGGGCGAGCAACTGGGTCAATCAGTTCCAATGCACTCATCTGGGTCTGAGCAGTGCTGGTCAGGTCCTGTGCGGACTCTCAGCACAGTCTGACCAGACACCACCGGGAGCAGAGGGCCTACAGGTGGGAAACCTGCTAAGCTCGGAGGAGAGGTGGAAGTTCTGCGAAGAGCACGCCGCCTCTTCAGGAACGGACCACCAGAGCCGAGATGAGGGAGGCGGGAAACAGCCAGGACTAGGGAGCCCGGAGAATGGAGACCGGGAGGCGGGGCCCGGGGTGAGGGGGTCCCCGAGGGGCTGGCAGAGACCGGAGAGGACGGCGCAAACGGAAGGGGAACAGCCCTGACCCGTAGGACTCGCGAGGGGTGGGCGCTGCCTGGGGATGGGGCGGGTGCCCGAGCCGGCCCCTCGGCCGGTACCTACTTGAGGTCCCGGTTGACCGAGTGCAAGTTGTCCTGGAAGTGCGCGATAAAGGCCTTCTCCCGGCCCTCCAGCGTCTCCTTGTTCCGCATGCCATCTTTCAGGCAGTCGAACACCCTGCTCACACTGGAACGCAGCGCCTGGATGGCACTGATGGCCTGGGCGAAGGCCTCCAGGTTCACCCCGACGCTCAACACGTCCGCCATGCCTCCGCCCCCGCGGGCCCTCCCGGTCGGCTGCGCGCGCCGCGCGCGCTGATGACGTCGCCGGGCCGCCGGGAAGTGAAGTGCTCGAGGGCCCCGCCCACTCCGCTGGGGCGTGGCCGGGAGAGCTGCCAGGGCTCAAGGCTGGCGGCCTGCACTTGCTCATTGGTGGGCCGCGGGGTGAGCTCGTGCGTTTCCCCAAGCTTGTGCTTTGGGGAGTCACGTAGAAAAGAATTGCTCGGAAGAATGAAGTCCCGGAGTCAAGGATTATAACCCACTGGATAAAATGAGTCCATATTCATAAATAAGGTGGTGATGGGGTTCTCCCTATTGTGGTATGCTAAAATAATAAATGTCAAAGGAATTTTGAAATTAAAAAATCGCCACTTGGCAGTCGTTCAAATAATCAACTCAGGAATCAACAGATGCTAAAACTTGTGGGTAAAAGTGTGACAAAAATTACAGGATATTTGCATAGTCTCAAAATACATATTAATTAAGAAAGGAGAATTAATGGTTCAATAATTTGCTTCTGGACATATACCCAAAAGAATTAAAAACTGGATCTCTAAGAGGTCATTGTACACCCATGTTCGTGACAGCATAGCTCACAATAGCCAAAGAGTGGAAGCAACCCAAATGTCCATCAACCAGCCGGTAAATAAGATGTGGCATCTCCATCCAATAGAACATTATCCAGCCTTACTAAGGAAGGAAATTTGGACACAAGCTAATCCGATGAAAATCTCAGGTCCGTAGGTTAGTTTATAGTATTTTATCAGGGATATTCATGAATGAAACTTCAGAACATTAGGTTGTTAAATAAGGCAGTCACAAAAACACAAATACTCTATGACTTTTTTACAAGAAGAGCTTAGAGTTGTCACAATCATGTGGATAAAAAGTAACTTGGTGGCCACCAGGGACTGGTTTTCAGTGAAGCCTACACCTTTGGGGAAAAAAAAAATAGGTTGTAGAAGGAAGATTGGGGTTTAAACAAAACCAACAATACACTTTTGGCTCTGTGGAAGGTGAAGCCATCTTCTTTCTTGGTCTTGTCCACTATGGACAGGTTTGTGAAAGTGTTTGTCCTTTGTTACTAGAGTGCACCTGCCCAAGTCCTCGTGTTTGTCCCTTAGAGGAGCTGAGCTTGCACATCTTGGAGCAGAGAAGGTGGGAACAGGAGTTACACTGTGATGGTGACCTTCGGCCTGCCTTTGTGTCTCGGGGAGGAGAGTTTTCTGGGTTTCCTAGAGGCAGTAACATGAGTCATAAGGACAAGGGCTTCCATGTAATATTGCAGCACAATATTGGCAGATGCAGACTTGGAAAAGTTCTGTGGGTGGGTGTGCTGTGGTCACAGAGCCGTGTGAATGTAGTAATTCCACTGAACTGGACACCCAAGATAGTTAAAGTGGTAAATTTTGTGTATTTTACCACAATTTTTTTAAAAAATCCGTAATGTTAAAAGGGGCAGTGGTGGAGCACTGTGGTGCACTCCTGTGATGACAGCTACTTGGCTGAGGCAGGCAGATCCCAGGTCAAGGCCATCCTGGGCAACTTAGCAAGACCTTGTCTTAGGGAGCTGAGGTATAGATCAAGTGTAGAGTGGGCCTCATTTCAATCCACAATAGTGAAAAAAAAAGATGGGGGACAGTAACTTAACAGTGCCTTCTCAGCAGAGAAACCTTGCAGATACCAACTTACCAAAGAGGTCAAGGTCGATATCACGAGTGGAGAGGTGTTTTATGTACCCCCAAAATGGCATACTGAGAAGAGCACAAAGTGACTTCTGCAATACTCCTGCCCAAAGTGCAAAATCTAAATTTAATGAGGACGTCAGTCAAGCTCGAATTAAAAGACATTCAACAAAATCACTTACCTGTTGTTTTTAAAAAAATATCTGTGTCATGAAAGACAAAGAAGGCCAAGGAACTATTCCACGCTGAGGGAAACTGAAGAGACATGACAACCAAATGCCATGGGTGACTGGGATTTTCTTCTGCTGGTCCAACTGGGACAACTGGTGAAATCTGAGTAAGGTCTGTAGGAGAATTAGTATCTTACCTGTGATCATTTCATGATTTGATCAGTTGTTTTGTGGTTATGGAAGCAGATATCCTTGTTTGGGGGAAATACACCCAGGAGTGGCAAAAGAGCATCATTTTGTCTCCTTGAAAAAATATGAGAAGATGAGATGTTTACTGAGAGAGAGAAAGATGAGCAAATGTGGTAAAATGTTAGCTGTCGTGGGATTTGGGTGAAGGGTGTACAGGAATTCTTTGTACTATTTTTGCAACTGTAGGTTTGAAATAATGTCACAATACGTTGTTTTAAGTGACTTAATGTTTTAAGGAGCAGGGGAAGCATAAATACAGTCCAGATGGTAAGAAAAGCTTCCATGCTGCCAGGCTATGCTGACCAGGATTTTGAAACTGTGAAGTTCTCAGTCCTACATCCTCAAGAATTCCCCACTTCCCCACAACTCCACTGTGCCATCTCAGTTCAAATCCACTTTTTCTGGAACCTTTATAGTCAATTCTGAGACCGGGAACAGTGGTGCGCACCTGTAAACCCAGTAACTAGGAAGGCTGAGGCAGGAGGGTCACGAGTTCAAGGCCAGCCTGGGCTACTTAGGAGGCCCTAGACAACTTAGTGAAAGCCTGTCTCAAAATAAAAAATAAGGAAGGGCTGGGGATGCAGTTCAGTAGTTGAGGGCTCCTGTATTCAGTTACCACTAACAGAAACAAACGAAAAACAATTCTTGGGGCTGGGGTTTTTGGCTCAGCGGTAGAGCACTCGTCTAGCACGTGCGAGGCACTGGGTTCGATCCTCAGCGCGATCCTCAGCGCCACATAGCAATAAATAAAATAAAGGCATTGTGTCCAACTACAACTAAAAAAAAATATTTAAAAAAATAATTCTGCACAAAATCTGGGCCCTGATATTGCTTTCCAGGAGACAATTCTTAAACACTCTTTAAATTAATTCATAGTCTCATGTGAGAGAAAACTATCTGGTGGACTTGGGTTTCTACGGTGGCTTTCGTTTCCTAACATCAACCTCAGCTTCATGGTGTTGCTGTGAATAACTATTCTTGAGGGGAAGGAGGGGGATTACAGAAAACTTCCAACTGTAGAACTTTACCTGTTACTGATTGTCCCTGAACCTGTTTCCTTTTCTGTAAAACAGGACTAGTAATGATTCTACCGTCATCAAGTAGCATTAGCTGGAGCAGTGCTGTGCAGGTAAAGCTTTTGACATTGGCTTGGAATGTAACAAACACTCAGAAGTCACAGCTGTTAGGAGAAGGGGCTCCTGGCCTGTCCACTGGAGGGTTCTTTACACGACCAACCAAGGATTAGTACTGGGGCTGTTCGTTCAAATCATCTCCAGTGACACAACTCTGTTGCCAAGAGCATGTCAATCAACTGTGTCCTCTAATGCTCTATTTTTGGGGGAGGGATCTTTATATTTCCTTTGGGATGTAGAGGTTCTATAGGAAATATTTTTTAACTTTACCAAAGTAAAAAAGAAAGGAAAACATCAATGTTTGTTGACTTGTTTGGTTTTATCTTGGTTTGTTTATTCTTTCTAGAGAAAGACTAGAGAAGGCATATTCTATTATCATGTTTACTTACCTTTTAAGGGTCCCTGGAGGATTGGAAAATGTGATCCATGTTGTGTACCTTGTCCCCATGAGAAAAAAAATAAGTGCCCATCTATTTTTGTTCTCACCCATATATACCCATGCACATGAGATTTTGCATAGAACTTGAGGGGTCTCACAGCCCAGTAAAGCCCACACATGCATGTCTGGTATAGGATCAGGCTCTGCTGCAAGCACCCTGGGTCTCTAATGCCTGGGGCATGATAGATGCTCAGTGTTCATTTGTGGAAGCAATGAATGGGTGCAATATGGTGTGTTTGCCTTCTTGGATCCTCTTTCCAAATTGTTCCGTCTCTGCACGCTCAGAGCTCATCTCTTCTCTCCATTATCCCCAGCCCCCCACCCCAGCTCCCAGCCAGTACACACGAGACTTCCCTTTGTCTCCTTCTCTGATTCAGTGGTTTAGACTCTGATTGGTGCAATAAAGTACAAATAGACTTTGCTTCCACAGTCATTAGTTTTCAGGATTTCTCTGTGGCTCCCCTCTTCTGGGAAACTCAGAAATTGATCAGTGGAAATACACATTTCCCCTGAACCTAGTAAGGCGTCTTTTATCACATCAACAGAAAACTTTTCATTTTGGAAAGGAATGGACAAGGTTTCTCTAAGGTGCTATAAATTCTTGAGAACGTTGGCACTTACATGCCTGCATCTGTGTGTGTTTGTGGGATATAAATTGTTTTAAAGGAGTTCATTTTGAGCAATATCAGATTTTAATTATTATGATCTTATGTTTGGGTAATTGGCAGCACCCTGCTGCTAATATCTTCCAAACTGAACAAGCCATTAGCTCGATGCTATCAACTCAGGAGTATTAGAATAAGCAATCAGAATTAAAATTGTCAGTATTTAATTAAAATATGCTGCAACTCATATCATATTCAGAGAACATGTGGTTTAAACATTCAGACTGAGAAAATGCCCTCATCAATTAATAATTATTAAGGATTCACTAGATGCAGAACAATGTGTTGATGGTTGGGCACAATGTCACTGGACAGAGTCAACAAAATCTGCCATGGATAACCTACAAGGTAGCTAAGCCACCTATTGTAATCAGCACAGCATAACACTTAAGACAGTGCAGGTAAGACTGAGGATTGGATTTGGGCGGCACACAGTCCTGGGGACATAGCTCACAATCAGTCCCTCGATAAACATACCAGCATTTTGCCAACAGCTGGGAAGCCAGGGGTCCAGCTGAGCCTGATAAATATCACTGAAGCTGTCTGAGGTTTGTCACATGCTCCCCCATGATTACCTGGTTAAGGTTCAGAGCATCAATTTATGTTTAAATTGCCTAGAATAGGTCTATTATAATCAATCTAAAACAAGTCTGGTGGAGAGTCCTGTTTGGC